AAATATAATTAGAATAATTATCGAATCCAACAAAATAAATAATTATTATCTTTATAAAAAATTACATTATTAAACCAAATATAAATTACATCGTTATTGTATATAAATTAAATTATAAAAAAATTGAATTGAAAAATTACACAAAAAAATGAGGAATTTCAAATAGTTAATTTGATACTAATATCGATATATTTTTGTCAAAATTTTAGGATATCTTCAAACATATATTTTATACAAAAATAAAAACATCATCGATTTCTCAAAATCACATAAAGCCATATTATAACATCGACTATAATAAAGAATAAAATGAAATATTAAAATCACGATGTATCTCGCTGCATTGCGCGAATACGCTTCTAGTATATATATATATATATATATATATATATATATATATATATATATATCTCAAAGGAAAAAATGGTCTAAGATTTGCATTGTAAATGTATATATATGTATACCCTTTGCTCAATAATGGAAAATTGATGTGTTATAAATTTATTAGAAAATTACTCGCGCAATACAGCAAGATATATCTTCATTTTAATGTTTTGTTTTATTTGTTTGTTTCTATTGATATACTACGATTTATGTGGTTTCGATAAAGATAATGTTTTTACTTTTGGATAAAAATAAATTTGAAGATTTCATAAAGATTTGAAACAAATATATCGATATTAATATCAATATAAATATTTAAAAGTTCTCGTTTTTTGTACAATTTCTTTAATTCAATTTTTTATTATAATTTAATTTAGGTTTAATAGCAAAGTAATTTATTTTTGTCTTAACAATAAAATTTTTATAAAGATAATGATTCTGTTAGAACTCAATGATTATCCAAATTATATTTTAGATTGTTGATATTTAAAATAAGATGTTTATAATGTATTTGATTATTTTTATCTGCAGTTAGTTACACGAATTAAAAAAATAGAGTTTTAATAATTTGTACTTATGCACAATTTAATTGTAATCTTAAATTTTAAGTAATACGCATTAATACACATTACTTCATATATAAAGAATGGTTTTTAAGAGTTTTTTGTCAAATACTTTAAAATATTTATATATATAATTGCAAGTGTACAGATGTGTAGCAACCGTAACAAGTTTGTTTGAACTTATTATAAATTTTATATTACAATTAAAAAAAGTGCAACGTTACGTAAACATAAAATATATTTTACAATTACTAATTTACGATTTATTATATATATATATATATATATA